GGAGGGTATAGTTTTTGAAAAATTTTACTTCTTAATACGCGTACGATGCCACACATGATTTTTTTGAAGTGAAACTTCTTAGGCGGCGGTCTGATTTGGAGGAGAATGGAAAGTGATTTGAAAGAAGCGTCACGTTACACGTGAAGACACGTTTTGGCTAATTTCGTTACACGAGAGACGAGAGAGAAGAAAGATATAACGTAGAGAAACGGAGAAAGACATTAACCAATGACAATGACAGCCGACGAACAATTCACACGAACGAAGGGTTATAATAAGCAAAGAGGATTGCCTATTATTGTCAAGCGGCAAGCGCCGATACCCTTGTGATGTCACTACAGATGCGCGTTTGTCTATTGTGTAGCCTTTCGTCTTTAAACCCCGACTCATGCGCTAAGTTTAAAAGTTGTATGAGAGACAAGTTCATGATGGAGGGAATAGTTTCTAAGAAGTTCCACTTCTTAACACGTGTACGACGTATGATGCCACATATGATTTTTTTTATGTTTCAATAAAGTTGGGAAAATTAGGAGTGTCACCCCCCCCCCCCCCCCCCCAAACCAGAGGCCTTCGCTACGTCCCTGACGTTGTTTATTACTCAACTTTTAGGTCACTTTGTTGTTGTTATTGAATCTTAGTTTGATTAGTTTTTTAGTTCACTTATTTTGATACGTTTTACCTAGGTATCTACCTAACTAAACTGAAAGTACTTCTTAACGCATTTAAAGTAGGGGAATTTCAGATGTTACCGGTTGACAACGGCGCGCGACGTTGTATGATTTGAATAAACATTTTCAAATAAATAACACGTGTCGATTCATTTTGTTATTTCTAGCTGTCAGTGGTCTTGATAATTTATTATTACATTCTGGTAAATTATAAGGAAAAAAAAGGCATTGACAACATTGTCAGTCCTTGTTCTACGACGTTATCCTAAAAATAACGTAAAAAACCTATAGGAACACTTTTTGTGTTTTGTTTTAAATCAACTTAAAGAAGCATTAACGTTGTTCATATAATTTTTTGTTTGGCAGATAATGTAATTTACCATCCTTAACTTTATTTTTTGATACTGCCACGATTAGTGGAAGAATTTTTAATTGAAATACCTTTAATCATGAAGCTACAAAGAAAATTAGCAGGTAATAAAAGTTCGGGTTTCCTCTCACCACAACGAAATCGGTTCCGAATATTTAAATTTTATCAGTGGTATAAATAATTACATATTAGCACGCCACTGTACAGCATATCATTGAGGTATTCGAAATTTTTAATCATAAAAATAAGCTAATCGAAAGATATAACAATTGCTAATAAAATTGATTTAATGAAAAATAATAATTTCTGTTTGCACGCCACTGTTCAGCATATCATTGAGGTATTCGATATTTTTAATCACAGTAAATACGCTGGCTGAAAGGTATGACAATTGCTAAAAAAATTCACCGCTAAGAACGATTCGGGATGGTTTAGAACGGAAAAGTTGAGAAAATTAATATGGTTATGTTAAATAAACGATATTTCCGAAACAGAGGCAAATATCAAAATTTTGAGAAACTGGTTTCTTAATAATATGTCAATGATTAAAGTGTAGTAAAGTTAATAAATTATTCCGAAAATGGGCGATTATTAGTACGCTACTGGACACCACATTATTTAAGTATTTTTTTTTATTGAAAATAAACCAGGATATCGTGGGGTATATCAAACAGCAGCATAAGATGCAAGATTTATTGTACAGGATGGTTCAGGTGCTTAAAAGTTGAAAAAAGTGGAGGTTATAAAAAAAAATCGGTATTTTTAAAACTAAGGCAGGTATAAAAAATTTGAGAAATTACTTTTTTTGCAGAAGATCATTGATTAAAACGCCGCATAGAAAAAAAAATTAAAAAATTATTTGAGAAAGTTACGTTACACACTTTTAAAATTGGGATGAAAATCATGGACTCTTTTAACACCCTGTATAAAAAAAAATTAGACATTTAAAAAAAATTCTAAATAGCAGTTTTTTTCACAAAAAGTCAATCTGTCAGCCCGTGAAAACCGCAGGTCGATATCTATTCTGGTTCCAAAAATATCGATCTTGAAACTTAGGCGATATTTACCTTGTTCGAAAGCAATTGTCCAGCAGTTTAGATGCCAAAAACACAAATTTTGCACAATCTTGGAAAACTCTTTTCAAATATGATTTAAAGAAAACACCAGATTGAGTGCAAACCCCAACCACTAACAATAATTAGTGGGTAGATATTCTGTGGCTGAGTTAAATTCAAGATTGTTCTCGAAAAAATCTCTTTACTAACAACAACTTTTATTGAACTAATTGACAAAATTCACTTTCGCTTTTACTTAATTTTATACAACAATTATCTTATTTTAACTGAGTGACCTAAAAACTATGCTCTCTTTCCGTCACCTGTAATCATCACCATCCTATCTATTCAGACGCTCAGCATCTCAATGCGTGTCAAATGAACGGCCTCAAGGATGCCTTCCTGGCCATCTGAGTTAATCCTCTCTTCTTCCCATTGAATGACGTCACAGGAACTAAAAGAATAACCACCTGTACCTTGCAGACTATCATTCTGCAAGCCTAGCCGCATTGTCTCAGACATTCTTAGCACTCGTAGTATTCCTCATCGAAGGAGTCTCTATAGGGTCTGTTTGAAGGATCATATTAACCTTTCGGATCGGCTACAGTATCCCTGTAATCTTCTTTCTCCGTTCGCTGGATTCCTATTCTCTCCAGTTCGTTGGCGATCTGTGGCGGGTTTGCCAGGTTCAAGAATGGTTTAGTGTCACTATCTTCTAATTGGTCACTTCTAAGCTGTTCGAAACTCCGTTTCCTTTTGATCCGTTTCAAATCAAAATCTGCCAACAAGAACTCTTTCACGCTCATCAACTCTGCGGCAGTGCTTGCATTGAACTGTGAACAATCGCCTGGACAACGTTTCTGCTATGTTATGCAGTTTACCCAGAACAATGTTTGATTTGAAAATCGTACTGTCGCAACTTCGCCGTCGAAGGCAAAGGGTCACCCAGGGATGACGTGTTGCTGGATGACTCACGGATCTTTGCAAAAGGCAGCCAAGAAAAAAAAGCCTGGCAAGATGGACATCATAACGCTACATGATTGAATATGGATTTATACAAGGAGCAAGTTTTCTTCGACTTTAAATTCAAAAGACCACCACAAGAGCTTGAACGCAGAATTGTTTGAACTGCTTTTCTTCCTCAGACAGAAGGGCCATTAGATATAGATATGAGTCAAGAAACATAAAACAAACATCCGTAAAGGAGAAATCACCAAATTCGGCATCGCCCAACATGGATGGGAAAAGCAAAACAACATCTAATGGACTCGAACGAAAATCATAGATTAATAAGAACAACACAGGTTCGAACGCAAACTCAAGGAAGCAACGTACCTATATCAACGAAATCAAAAAGGTAATCAGCAATCCATGAGTAGGAATTCCAAGGACACGAAGACCCATTCTCGAGGGTCATAGATCATAAATCCTGCAACCGTAAATTCCAGGAAGAAATAAAAATATCTGGAAATTGTGGTTAAAAGCATTTTTAATTCTGTCTCGAGATTTTGGATTAGGTATACCACTGCCATCTTTTAACAGGGGCTTGATAGGTTGTCCTAGAATACTGGAATTGGTTTTAAAGTCCGTAGGTACGGGATAAAAAAAAACCTCGATGGAAATTTATATATACAGGGTGTCCGGAAAGTCAACGATAATACTGTAAGGGCTGATGGAGCAACTTATTAGCATACAGAAAAACATAATATGACCTTGGTAAAAAATCGATGGTTTCCGAGATATTGTCACTTTAATAAAATTCGTTGTGGATCAGATTTTCGAGTGTCACCTTAAAATTTTCATTATTCTTAGATTCTGAATTCAGTTTTGCAATGGTGATAAACATTTTATTTGTTGTTGCTCCATCAGCCCTTTCAGTATTATCGTTGACTTTCCGGACACCTTGTATATATTATATATATTTTTTTTTTTTCGAGATTTTAAATCGGGTACTATTACCATCTTTTGCGTTACAAGTGAGATAAATCTCTATATCCCACTTGTAACGACTTACGTAAATAGGTAGGTAACTATTTTATGTCTGTCCTTTTTGACTGCCAGATTAAAAAAATAGGATTTATTACAGCTGTAATGAAATAAATTGGTATTCTAGTGTAGCTTCTGATGAAATACCGATTCAAAAAACTTTAGGTACAGAACATGAGAATACATAATGATAATTATAAAACAAACTTTGATTCTATAGAACTGAATTTCAGTTTTTGTTGGCTAAACGTGTCTTATTAATTTGAAGTTGCGACTTGGCTTTCCAATTTCACTTGTTCGCAAATGGACGGATTATTTGGCCCCGTGATTTTCAAAATCCCGGTTGAATTTGACTCTCCCTTTTTTCTCTAAATAAGTTTTTTAAATGTTTGGGTACCCCACTTTTGCTACAAATTCCGTATATTTGTTGCCAAATGTATGTTGTCTTTGAATTATCATGTTTAGGCTAGTTTTTGAAACTAACAGGAGTTACTGCATGAGAAATAAAATGAAATTTAATTTATTCTTGTATAATTGAGAATAATAAATTAGTCCTATTTTATTTTTGAGGAATTTATCGAGATGTCATTTGGCTTACTCTTGCCAAACGTAGTTCCAAAAACATCAATAATTAACAAATATTTATTTGTAAGTACGACCTTATAGCCTTTATAAGTTATCATAAATATAAATTATTGAACAATAATTATCATACATGAAAATCTAAGAATTTTAGCATTTTAATTGGGACATTCCTCTTTCCCAATTATCTTAATTTTATCATGCAAAATAAACGGTAGCATAAGTACACACCTAAAAGGCTAGGTCTGCGTGTAGAGCACAACATAGATACCTGCCTAACAATTATTATTTGAAACAGAAAAAATAGTTATTATACCTACCTACTTATAATAAACTTACCAACTCGTTTGAGAATCTTCTGCTGCAATCAAGCAAGGCCTGGAAATAGAATGATAAAAGATACTTCATGACACTAAATATTTATATATTTTGCAGTTCTATGAAAAGGAATTTTGGTCATAAGCTAACATATTGTTGTTTAAAAAAAAAAAAAAAAATGCAACTTACTTTTCTTTTAATTGGCGAGAGATCGTCACTATTTTTGATAAACCTCTCATATTTGAAACTATTAGATCTGTAGAGTTCATTGTCAACTTTCTTACTGCAAAATTTTCTTGTTATGGCCCTGGATTTACAAGATTTACAATCTTTTACAACGTCCCAATCAATATTAAATATTCCTTTTGATTTTTTGTTGATCTCGCCCTTGGTAGGTGGTCGTCTCCGAGATTTTGAGCGACGTCTTCGACGAATTTTGACATTTTCTCCTGATGTCACATTATTAGTATCGCTTTCAAGTTGTGATCTTTTTGAGAGGCCAACACGCTTTAGCACTCTATCCATTTCCACAGATAAATCCTTACTGGAATTGCCACAGCATTCGCTGAAGTAGCGCATCAACCACGCGCACTCAGCTGACTTTTGTATTTCGATTTGGGGTTGAAGAGAATTTATTACTGCGCTAGTTTTTGCTTTTTCTCTCTCTCCCTCTTTTAGGCACAAACCACGTGGTTCACTTCAGTTATTTTCAAAATTATTTTATAGGGGGAAAATAGAATGACTCACTCATTGCTGTGACAAAAAGAGTTTACAAGAAAATATACAAGTCGCACAATTTATTCCAAAAAATATGATTTTGAACTACAAGAGTAATGTCTTTTAAGGGTGCTAAAAACAAGTTAAGAGATATCGAGAACTGGCAGTGATAATGGAAAAACGGGTACACGATGCTAATAATCTATAATCTTCAAAACTGAGTTTAAATGAGTTAAACTGGCAAAATGTCAAAAAAAAATAAAGTAGGTATGTATTATGTATTGCGTATAGGCACATTATTGCAGATACCCATAACTATTATAGTGTTTACACATCGGAATTTCAAGATTCTATAACGCACTCCACAACAATGACTTTATAAAAATTTAAATATTATTACTTATCGGAACGTACACAAGAAAATATCTCGCATTTATGCTGACTTCCAAATTACTACTACGCGCTATTTATAGACGACATCGTACTCCGGATTTTACTACAAGTTTTGTTTTCTCTAATACTACTATTACTGTACTAAACAATTTAAAATTTGTTCTAAACAACTGTAGAATTCTCCTATTTGGTACAGACACCGCTGCGTACACTTCAAAAAAAAAGTTAAATTAAAATTGTCTCAACGCCTGCATAATATTATTTATAACTTTCACAATAAAATTATGGGACAAAGGGCGTTTAAATCTTCAACTCTTCCCAAACGCATCAACATTAATTGTATTATTCAGTCTCAGTTAGTTGCTCTCTTCAAAACACAATAGAATTCCTCAATACTCGCACTGGAGTCATAGACATAAACAATCTTGGTTGCGAAGCAATCTGATTGTAGACATAAACAATCTCGCCTGTTTCTCGGCGGGGCACCGACGCAAATCCGTAACACCTCCTCTTCTACGTTTATACCTCCACTCAAATCCATAATGATTCAATTTATCTACGATCAGCCTGTACTATGCCTTTCAGTGTCCTTTAGATCCATGTATTTGATCATGCTTGTAATCATCATCATCCCATCGATCCTCTCTATGCCTGCCAAATGAATCCTCTCTACGATGCCTTCCTGTTCATCCAGGTCTACCCTCACGTCTGCGAGGTCGTTCTTTCTATGGACTGACGTCACAAGAACTGGAAGAATGGCCACCTGCTGCCATGCTGACAGCCATCTTGTCTGCGCCTGCGCGGACGTTCGTAGCAGTCGTGGTATTTCTCGCCGTGGGAATTTATGGATCAGCAGTCCAGAACAAGTCTTCTTGTTCCCGATCCTTTTGTTGGCTATCTTTGTCGATTTCCCTAATGGTCAAAAATGGTTATATTTCTTCCAATTGACCACTTCTAAGCTGTTCGCAACTCCGTTCTTGATCCGTTAAAAATTAAATGCTTCCAAAAGTCACACTAGCCTTGAACATGGTCGCTTAGATACAGTATCTGCGTCGTTATGTTGATTTGAGAATCTTACTGTTGCAATCTCTCCATCGAAGACTGAGGCTCATCAAAAGGAGCAAGATCTCAGCTGTACTACTCTACAATGACGTTCTAGATGTCCCCTTCCCTACTTCCGGGCGGTAACATTCGGTGCCCCCTTTGAGTTCCTTTGTTAAATTCTGGTAACAGTATTTCATATTTGTTCCAGAATGTCCTTCACTGTGTCTTTCTCCTTGGTTCTTTTTTTTGTATTGACACAGTTCTTCTGATCATTGGTTTAGAGATAGGCCGTTTTGCCGATTTCTAGGGTTTTGATCAGGGCTTCGATGCTACTTGACGGTTTGGTTATGAGCATATCGCCATATCTCTAATTCCATTGAAGAAATTTTCGAACGCTGTCGCTTTTCTGCTGTTACTTCCAGGAGTTTCAGGTAGGCCAAATTAACCAGACGGCGGATATCAGTTTCAAATTCTTGATCGCGTTAAAACTTTTCACACCTTCCTGTTGTTTTTTTTTTCTTGTCGTCGGTGTTGTTCCTCATGACGCTCTAACTTCCCAACAAGCGCACAATAGTTTTGTTGGGAAGCTGGCGTAAAAGTCTGAAATAAGTCTACGGCAGGTCGATGCAATGCCTGTAGCCGTGTCATCAGAGCTCCAACCATTAGCCATTACAACTGACTCGAATGCCTGTACATCGCCCACAATGTCTAACGTCGGCCTCGTATGGCGGTGGCTCAACTTTAATACCGTTTGCAGGCAAATCTGAGACATTTCCTGATCTCAAATCCCATTTCCAACTGTTCAGTTTTCTTCTCCCAACTATCTACCTATTTCTTGGCAACTTCCTGACGAACACAATATCACTTCGCGTACGTTCCATTAATTCATTCTCGAATTTACTATCTTGCCCTTCCACGATTTTCTCAGAGATTACGGTTTGAATCCATTCTCGATAAAAATCTGAAATTTTTCTGAACCGGTCCTACTGTTCTTCTTATGGTCTTCGGGTTTCTTCTTCTGGCCTTTCTTACGGTCGAGGCTTCCTGTTCCTCTTCTTGAAAATATAATTATCGAATATCTACGAATACGTACCACTAGCGCTTTGAAATCATCGATTAATATCATTAGTTAACCAGAAATTACATTACTTCAGTTAGATCATTTTCCATTTTCTGAATAATTTATACCTACACCTCTTGAAAAGTGCTTCCAACAAAAATTAAAGTTGAATAGTTAGCAAAAATAATAAAACCTGCTAGACTTTTGCTGGTCATTTTACTAAGACTTGTTTATGTGTGTCTATAAATTTCGCTAATTTACCACTATAAATTTATGCATAATAAACATTTTATATTTTTCTTGTATTTCTACTTTATTGGTTATATTATTGCATTTTCTATTCGCATATTGAAATTATTTTTATCATTAGGTATACCTACGGAGTTACTGTGATCTGGGGTGGAACTACGAACAATCGCTATCGATAATTTCTCGACAAGTTCTCACCTCGTTCACCCATCGCTCAACGTTAGTCGCCAAAAAGGCCACCGCAAACGTTCGTTTGCATCGCAAATGTTCGTTTGTGGTGGCAATTTTGGACCCTAACGTTGAGCGATGGGTGAACGAGGTGAGAAATAAGGGGAAATTGTCGAGAACTTATCGATAGCGATTGTTTGTGGTTCCAGTGCTGGATTGTTTTAATATAAACTTCAGAAAGAAATCTAAAGCATTGAGTACTATTGAAATATTATTTTCTCTAAGCTCGGCAGAAACTTTTAACATCGTGTTAACTATGGGGAAGGCTAATTTCATTAAAGTTGTGAGTCTACATAGTAGTTGCAACACATAATAGTCTAATGTACTTCTCATCATTTGGTTCTACAACGTTTTGCCATAAGTTGAAAGAACTATCACCCTTTGTTTAAATCTGAGAAAAATAGAGCAGCTGTGCTAGCTTTTTAATCGATACTTTTTCTGAGCTAAAATCATGCATCTCTATTAGGAGTTGGAAAAGAAACCAGCTGTGACTGCTGCCACTGAGATAAAGGTTTGGTGATGAAATTGATTTTACTGATAATGACGTGAAATACTTGACGTCTCTAGCGAAAAATCAATTTCTTAATTTTACAAATACTGTGTTATTGCGTTTGTTAACAATAATAATTATTATAGAACACTTCACAAAGTGTATCTTCTATGTGACAAATGCAATCAGAATATTTTCTAGAGGTAAAAGTCACAGTAGATTCTTTAGTAGTGTTTCACCCACTGCCATTACCTCATACTAAGTGAGGTTCTATCGCATCTATAGACATTGATAGAACATGCAAATCTCTTGATTGTAGCGTGGTTGGTCGGAGTATAGACAGCACCTCAACATTGGGTTGAGGAAGAACTGCGAACACCTTACTCAGGCTCAATTTTGAGTCTGGGTACTGATCAAGTACGACTGTTTATATCGAATCAAATCAAGCCTTATTCATGTTTCACTGACAAAGCAATAAACTTTAGGAACTAACTACAAAATTGAGATCAGAATTTTGCAAAAATAGGTATTTTTAAAATTAAGTGTAGGAACTTACTGTATAACTACAAAGAATTGAAAAATGTTCACATAGAAATTCCTTGATAGTAGATATAGTTATTTAGTAGGCTTTCACAACTAAGTAATATTTTTATCCCTGTACCAAACCTTTTTGTCCTGTCAATCTGGCAGATCCCTAATGATAGTCTGTTTACCATTCTTCTTGCTGTTGTACATAAGAAACCTCTTTATTGAAAACTTCTAGAAGTTATGGGCAAATTTTTACAGTTTGAATTTTAACATTCTTTTTAAAAGTTCAAGTACCTAAACAAGATGAGGGGGTGGTTAATTTATAATTAGACTGAGTTGGTAGTTATTCCTATAAGGGTTAAAAAAAACAACACAATTTTAGTAATAGAACTTAAAAGATGTATTCGAATTACTTTTATTACTATGCATTTATCTTAGCTATTTATTTACATTAATTTTATAATAACATTAAGTACCTAGGTAGTCTAGTTATAGTATGAAACAAATTTGTCCAAATCAGATTTTAGCAAAATGGTGTAGCAAAAGTTATTTAAGTTGGGATTTTTTTTCTCAGTAAACCAATTGTTGACAAGCATTTTTTTCCTGAATCCAGGGAAAACCAGTTTGTAGGGGCCAAATATTCAGTTAATAAATTTTACAAGATTAAAAAAACACAGTAATTAGTCAGAGAGCCAAAACATTGATCTTTATTTTTGTATTTATTATAATAAATTATGTAGGTAAATATTGATTCTTATAACCACGTTAACAAAAAAATACTTTCTAAGTGATATTACAAGAAAAGTCTTCATAACCACAGGTCCTCATTGTTTTTTTTTTTTTTTCATAGAAAAAATTATAATAATTTATTTATATACAATATACTACATTTCTTACACACTAGTGTTTAAAATATACCAGACTGATGTACACACAAAAAAAATAAATCTTGTAAATAAATAATTAGATAAGGACAAAGATTTATTTTCTCGCTAAAAATTTTCCAGGCCAAAAGTCCCCAATATTTATTATTATATAATTCGCCAGATATAGCTGTTATTGCTGGCGGATGGAGCATCGTATAGTAACAAAATGTCCACAAGGTGTGTTTACAATAATTAGTCATACATTTATTGCAATAAACTTCATTGTGCCAATTATTATTAAACACTTAGTTGACGCATGACATTTTCAAATTCCTTCCAGTTCTGAATGTAAAATCGGGGAAGAAAAATATTCGTTACTCGCCGCGCCATCAAAATCTTCCATTTCCTGATTTGTCCACAAGAACATTTAGTATTTAACTTTAGTCATATACAGGGTTAAACAATTTTTTGGACTTTCCAGTGCTTATTATGAATTTTGGCAAAAAAATACATTCAGGTTATCAGAAAGATCATAATTAGGTACATGCTCTCGGTTTAAACCATCAATTTTTATATAACATCATCAATGTTTGAGGGCATCAAAGTGACTGATTTGAATCAACGTCGAAGAGTCGCTAACCCCCTGGAAAACCCAATAAAACCACGTGGGTCTATTTTTGGAACAACTTGAGGTCCGGTTCAAACGCGTGAATGTAGTTTCGAAACTAGTTCCGACCAGTTTCATCACAAGAGAAGGCCTTTGTTGGTTGGTTCGAGATAGAGCGGTTTTGTCTTTTCTAAATTGGAACACTCAAAAAATTCATTAGAAAAATGATGAAGAAGGTATGTATGCCTAAGGTTTTCTGTAGTACCGACTACTTCTGGACCGTTCGTTCATCATTATTATTTGGGGCAATTATACTTTTAAAAAGAATTGGAAGATTGGTAATAATCGCAAAATAATGATGATTATAGATGGATGAGGTTTTTTTATGTGAAGTATAGTGGAAAATTTTATAGACATAATTTAAGGGAACTTTCATGACGTGGGAATCCTAAAATAGTTTTTTAGCATATTTAACATTTCCTGAAAAAACCTAAACATGTATGATTTTTTTTTTGTGGGGGTGGCAATCGTTATAAGGTAAAATATTGTACCCAGTGACACAGGAAGCAGATATCACTGGCGCCGACTACATGGGGGCATCGGGGCAAGTGCACCCATGAGCAACCTCTCATGGATGCGGAGCACCCATGAGAGCTGTCGTGGGGAATGCGGAAGTACAAGTACAAGTGTTTAATGGTCATTCCAACGGTGGTTCAGCTATAAGTACTTGGTATTTGGCTTACTTTTAACTTACTTTTTGATTTTGTTTTTCTTCTACTTGTACTTATTTCTTCGGGTGTATGTACAGTGTGTCCCATTTTGGTTGTACATAAGGGATATCTCAGTTGCTATTGGAGTTATATGGATGCAGTTTTCGCTCGGGTTTTCGGGAACGCTTGCTACTTTTCTGACAAACGAAAGATGCCGTCAACAAAATTGTCCTCGCCCTTTTCGTTCTTCAGATACAAGGTGTTTTTGAAAATGTTGCATTTTGGGACACACTTTGTATCTCGCGGCTCTCTCAAGTGATCGAAAACGTGACAACGGATTCCTATAGATATTTTTACGTAGATTCCAGAAGTGTTGCCAGTTTTTCTCTAAAAGCAATAGTTTTTAAATTATGAACCCAAACATACATTATTTCAAATGAGACACTCTACATATTATAAACTCTTGAATGGCTTGATTGCTTCATCCTTGACAGTTTTCGAGCAAAAAAAATTTATCTGTTTTTGTCATGCGAAACAATGTTACAGTGTTTTACTTTCTCATTTTCCTTAAGGTGCAAATTCAAACTTTATTCCATTGAAATCAGCGGAAGCAGAGCTATCCAACGAGCTATTAATACAGGGTGTCTCATTTTAAAAAACGTATGTTTGGTTCATTATTCAAAAACTGTCACTTCTAGAGAAAAACTGATCGCCACTGGAATCTATGTAGAAAGATCTGTAAGAACCCGTTGTCTCCTTTTCGATCACTTATGAGAGAACCGAGATACGATACAAGAGGTGTCTCAAAATGCAATTTTTTCAAAAACACCTTGTATCCTAAAAACGGAAAGGGCGATGTAGCCAACGTTCGTGAAAGAAAACCGTATCCTTCTAATTCCAATAGCAATTGAGATATTCCGTATGTACAGTCGTGAGCATAAAAAGTGGGACACCCGGTTTTTCCTATTATAAAACGAGCTCATCAGCTATACCTACGGCAATGACAGGGATTGTCATATTTGACAAAAAATTCATTGTAGAGGAAAGCCTGATTTACCCGAAATAGCGAAAAATGACAAGACCTGTCAGTCGGGTGTCCCACTTTCTATGCTCACGACTGTATGTACAGGGTGTCCAAGATTCGATGGTTTTGCCGGGTCTCGGGTATTTCTAGAGGAGTTGGAAAAAATCTAACCCCCTCGTGAGAGCCTTGATTTTCAAGAGAAGTTGGCCGGTGAAACCCACATCTCGATTCGTTTTTAAGCTACAGAAACTTACAGACCACCTGCCATACTCCAAACTCAAAACGACTTGACATATTGAGATGCGGTTTCCACCAGTCAATTTCTCTTGAAAATCGAGGCTCGCAAGTGAGAGTCAGATCTTTTCCAACTTCTTTAGAAATACCCGAAACCCCCCAAAACCATCGAATCTTGGACACCCTGTACAACCAAAATGGGATACTGTATTTATACAAGGTGTTGCCGTTCAACTGGTCGAAAATGCTAGAGTATACAGAGGAACCATAGAGAACTAATTTGAGATAGGACACCGATGGTCGGAAGTGTGTCGTTTCCAAAATATAGAGTGTTGAAATTTAAAAATCCCCTTTCATATCATCTGAATGGCCGCTAGGCTGTTCAAATTTCTAGGGATTATTGATGTAGGAATGATATTTAAAAATTCTTATTATGCACCCCCATTTTCTACCTGGAACCATCCCCCCAAAAAAAATAAAATAAAATTCGGAAAAAAAAGCAATTTGTTTTAATTTTTGTTTTTTGGGGTGGTTCCAAGTAGAAAATGGGGATTTTTAACCAGTTGAAGGGGGACACCCTGTATAAATAAAAATAAATACATTATTAAATGAAATGTTTGTTTAAAATTTATACTACCTATCCAGGCATACGGGGGGGGGGGGGGGGGGGGGGGATAAAATCGAATACAAAAATTGAGCGAGGGTTGCTCTAGTGCTGCTCGAATTTAGCAATAGGAAACACTATAAAATAGACGTTTTTGGACGTGGCATCCGGAAAAAAAATTTCGTCCACCTCTTTTCCCTATAAACAAATTTATAAATTCATTTATTTAATTTATTATTATCCTGCACCCATGAGGACTTTCGAAAGTCGGCGCCGCTGGCAGATACCTCATAGTATATTGAAAAAATAAAGTCGCCTCTACTTTAAACGACGTTGCAAATATATTTTACAACTTTGAAGGTTTGGTCGAATGAATAATGTAAAGCCTAAACATTCCATTTTTGTTTTCAAACATTTACCGTGAGGAACTTATAGTTTTCATAAATGCTAAATAGCAGAATTTCGCATTGAATTCCGTAACATTTCACATCAAGACAATGACTATGGGTTCCAAATCTGACAAAAAAGCTGAAATCCCCCAATTTTGAAGGAGAAGCTTTCCAGTTTATGAGTACTTTTTTCACTAATGAAAAGATAATTGACTTGCCGTGTGTTGAAAACAGTTCGAAAGGCCAAATCCTAACAGAGAAGGCAAAACTCGGCCATATAGCACCTTGTTAACAAATTTTCCAGATGCAAAACATAACTAAACTGCTGGACAAATGAAACGGAACAAGCGAATTTTTAGTTTAACTTTGGATTCCGATATTTCGCGAACTAAAGAGGATATCAATGAGTGATTTGCGTAATTTAGAAGTTAATTTTCGCAAACCGCTCATTGATATCTTTCTTAGTACGCGTAATATTAGAATTTGAAGTTAACCCAAAAATTCGCTTGTTCCGCTTCATTTGTCCAGCAGTTTATATAGGAATATATTATTAGCCAGGAGAAATATAAGGCCTGTTTCTGCAGAAATCACAAACCACTCAGAGTGATTTTCATTGGTTGAAACTAGTTTTCCGACTGTTTTCAACCAATGAAATACGCTCTGACTGGTTTGTGATTTCTGCAGGAACACACCTATAATTATCCCAATTTAATCCCATATTCTTGACGTCATTTGTGCATGTTTGTAACAAATTCGTGTAACTACTTGGATAAACAAATAGATTCGATGTGGATAGAAAACTGAAGGCGTCTCATCTTGAGGACACAACAGGGCAATATCAAAACTTCCAGGTTCAACTGCAAGGCCCCGCTAAAATCAGTCAAATGTGCAAGAGATCAAGCCAGCCTGCAACTGTCGAGCACCAAAATCGATCCAAGAAAAGCAGAACACAACACGCCAGGAAACTGAAAACCAATTACTTTTTGAACGCTGAGCCAGAACATTTGGAGGACAGTTAAAGCAGCGCCTCTACAACATTAGGTACGTCACAGAATTCTAAAAGTGCCGCAGAACCCTGTAAGGCAGCTCTATTCCCAATTTGAGTTAGGACTGTCGTGGGCTCTGAGCGGCGAGTAGCGACCCCCGATATTTCCAAAATGTATTATTTAAGTACTTTCAAATTGTGACATCATTGTTATTGGGGCATTTGTAATGGATATTAATTCTGATTGGTTATTTTTTTTAATTTTATTATCGGAATAAATAGTATGCAGTTTATTTGTGGAAGTTTTACATGCATGGGTTTGGTTTGCAACTGGCCATTCGACCAATCTCTTGAAAAAACAATTGTGCCAGTTTTGTTGTTTATGCAAACATGCACTAACCGGTAAAACTTGACTGTATATTCACAAAATAATTACGAAAGTATACTAATCGATAATGTAAAAATTTTTGGTTTATTCACTGGAAAAAATGAAATTTTATAATACATAGTTCTATAAATGAAACAAATATATACTTTGTTATTTGTCACTTCAGTTTATAAACGCTAAATTGGGTATCAATTATCATATAAAACAAAAAACTATGTATACCTATTTACGTTTGTCTAGATGACTTTACATTATTTATTTCAAAGGGTGAAAAAAATCTCAGCTTCTTTCGACAATTTTATTGAAAAATTTAAATCAATTAAGACACTGATTTATGTCATCACCAGGGCTTCATAAAAAAATAAAATTGTCCGAAGAAGCTAAGATTTATTTCGCGCTTCAACTTAATTTGTGGACAAGACCATCCATCCTTGATTTTTTATGACATGAAAAACACACCATACATTTGAAACAGATGTATAGAATTGGTCAGCCATTTCGCAATGTCCTCATAAGAATTTGAATATGTAATTTGATTAATTGTTCTCAAGTTACAGTTACTCCTTTACTAATAATCTGGATGAAATACATAGGTAAATCTACAAAAAAAAATTAATCCCGAAATTCCTACTCTTATAAGTAAAACAATATAACATTGCTAAACAACATCATAATTCTTGATATGGCTCTACAATATTTGCTTTATTAAAAGTCCAGTTGCATATAATTATACACATATTTACACTGATATAAATAATTAGAATCTAGAATAAAAAAGTGACATACATATTAATTTAAAAATTGGCAAAATATGTACATTAAAACAAAATTGATTTAAAACCTAAACAAAATCATCATAGCCATCACATAACACACACTTAAAGACTAACCATAGGATATTACCAGAGCCGCTTTTTTTTGCAATCATGATTTGTTTTATTCATTTGTTGCGTTTTGATCAGGATCAGAAAGAACAGCAACTGTAAAAATTTCACATTGGACACAACAAACAAACTAACTAATCATAAGATTTTTATGTTCAGTTTGATACTTGGTGAGTCCTCAAATCATGATTCTCAATCTGCGAAAGTTGTAAACCTGTAAAAGCACTTTATTAATAAACAGCAGATCAAAACGGGTTTTCATTCCGTAAAAAAAGCGGCCCAGGTATCTGATCATAAAGACAGTAAAATGACAGAAAGAAAAACATATCTTTTTTACTATTAACCTGAGAAATCACCATTATTTAAGTAATCTTTTTTTGCCTAGATAAATAATGATAAATATAATAAAAAAAAGAACTATGTAAACTATGAAAAATTTCCTATATTTTTTATGAATTGAACAGAAATTCGTATGATTCTAATAGTCTAGGAAAATTGTCGATTTTCAACAAAAAAAATCCTACCCAAAAGAACTTTTCAGGGATGATAGGAGGAGGGTGGGTGATCATAAAACCGAAAATATCAAACATTCACCCCTCTGGCGTTTGGCGCTATAGGGGTTGAAAGTGCGCCATTGGCGATTACGTGGTACCTATTGATTTTACAAAAAAATGTTTCAAATAAAAGATGTGCAACATTATTTGATCTACAATGTTGATCTGAAGACTCTTTTGATTAGGGACCGTCTGTGGTCATAAGGGCCGTTTGAAATTTTATAATGAAAATGAAAAATTTTAACCAACGTGAAAAAAATTTCTACAACTCATACAACATTTTTGCTTCATGAAGTTTTTACTCACCCCCTGCCGTTTTTCAATAGGGGTAGTTTAAAGTTTTTTTATTTTTTTATAAAAAAAATTTCTCAATAAAAATTTTATAAGATGACATTTCCTACAATATTTCCTAATCAACTTTTTTTGTAACTCACCCCCATTCAGCAGGGGGACACTTCCCTCGGGAAAATTTTAGTTTTTAGGGGAATATATTTATTTTATTTTTTTTTTCTCGCCTTTAGTGCATATAAAAAGTTGCAATTAACATTGTATTAAAAGGACTTTTTTTTCACCACCTTTTTGTTTTTAGGGGTAGTTCGCCTATTTTCAACGTTACAAAAAAAATTTATAGAGAAAACTTGTTCATTTTATTATTTTGAGCAACTTTCCTCCATAACTTTTTTTTGTAAAGTTGAAAATAGGCGAACTGGTGGAAAAAAAATTATTTTAATACAATGTTAATTGCACCTTTTTATACAGGGTGATTCAAAAGTAAGCGGCAACCTTTCGGAGGCGTCTTCCTTGCATAAAAATAAGACAAAAAGTTCCTATTAACATGGGTCCGGAAATGCTTCCTAAGGGAGCTACGCCCCTTCGAATAGGACACCTGAAAGACGTGTTTTTCTGTATAACTTTGAAACCCTTCACAAATGGATTTTGAAAATTGGTGTATTTTATAAACATTTGATGGCAATTAAGATACTAAATTGAAAATTCAAAAATCTTAATCAGTGTCACATACTGGGGAGGGTGAAAACATCTCTATTTTTTTTTACTCGTCAGGTTTTTGCGAAACATACGCAAATCAAAAAATTTTCAAAGTCAATAAACGGTACGCTGTATCGAATTGAACCAAGAGTACCTTTTCTGTGTAAAAAACTGTAAACTTTCTGAATTTTCAATCAGAATCGCAAAAACCTGAAGAGTAAAAAAAATAGGGATGTTTTAACCCTCACCCTCCCCAGTATGTGACGCCACTGATTAAGATTTTTGAATTTTCAATTTAGTATCTTAATTGCCATCAAATGTTTATAAAATACACCAATTTTCAAAATCCATTTGTGAAGGGTTTCAAAGTTATAGAGAAAAATACGTCTTTCAGGTGTCCTATTTGAAGGGGCGTAACTCCCTTAGGAAGCATTTCCGGACCCATGTTAATAGGAACTTTTTGTCTTATTTTTATGCAAGGAATACGCCCCCGAAAGGTTGCCGCTTACTTTTGAATCACCCTGTATGCACTAAAGACGAGAAAAGAAAAAAAAATTAATATATACCCCTAAAAACTAAAATTTCCCTAAGGGAAGTGTCCCCCCGCTGAATGGGGATAAGTTACAAAAAAAGTCTATTGGGAAAAATTGTAGGAAATGTAATCTTATAAAACTTTTATAAGGAAATTTTTTTTTGTAAAAAAATAAATAAACTTTAAACTACCCTTATTGAAAAACGGCAGGGGGTGGGTAAAAACTTCATAAAGCAAAAATGTTGTATGTGTTGTGGAAAAATTTTTCACGTTGGTTAAAATTTTTCATTTTCATTATAAAATTTCAAACGGCCCTTATGACCACAGACGGCTCTTAATCAAAAAGTCAAAATCAATAGGTACCAAGTAATCGCCAATGGCGCACTTTCAACCCCTATAGCGCAAAACGCCAGAGGGGTGAATGTTTGATATTTTCGGTTTTATGATCACCCACCTGCCCCCTATCATCCCTGAAAAGTTCTTTTGGGTAGGAATTTTTTTTTTGCAATACATGTATTTTTCGACTATTTTCCTAGACTATAAGCAAAAGTCAAATAAACCGGAACCGGAAATTCAACTCTGATGAATGATGAAGTTTATAAAAAATTATTTAAATTTCGAAATTTTTGAAAATTGGTGGTAATTGACTTATTATCAAAATCTAATACAGGACTAGAAGAGAATTTACAACTTTTCAGCCTTGGGATGAATAAAATTTGCCGCGTTTCTTCTGAATATTGCATCGCAGGAATTTTTGGCGAAAAAAAAAATCGGATAGATACGTATAAAAAATAAATTTATCGGATTGTATTTTTCAAAATATACAAATAGGTATATATGTGAAGCCGGAGGAACGTAGCCAATTGTAGCCCGCTTATTGCCACTCATGCGTATTTCACAGCCGGGCAAACAAGTTCTTGTTTGCCCAGTGGTGTCATTCCATTAGGAAAATTGAAACAGATGACGCAACTTAACTATTGAAATAGTTTAATTCTTAATTTAAATAGTGGTTAACTTTACTAATTTGATTTCACAACAAAAATGTTTACAAAAAGTAGTGTATTCACGAAAGAATCAAAATTGTCAAAAATTACAAACTTGATTGCAGAGTTAAGCTAAATTTTGAAAATGAGAAAATAAATCAAATAAATTTGTATTTGTGGAAAACCAAATAAATTTGTATTTGTGGAACCCTTTTATTTTGATACCAAGCATTCGAAGCTATTTGCGCCTTCTCCAGGGCCATAATAAATAACCGTTTCCCAGTTATGTCAATTTTGAACTGTCGTTATCGATAAATATAAATGAATGTTGAAATTTAATTTGAACGTTGAAGTCACAGTTTTGCAAATACTGTTTCTCTTTATTTGTTAGCATAACACAGGCAGAGGTGATTGAGGTTGTATCTGGATCTAGTTTTAGGCAGCATTCATAATAGTGTAGTACCTAGATGTACGTACAACATTTTTTCAACAAAATATATTAAAAATAATTTTGAAGTACTAAAAATACAATAAGCATAAATTAGACAAAAGAAAAGAAAATTTAATTTTTATTTGATAATCAAAACAGGCAAGAAAGACTCGTATTCCATAGATATTTAGCTATATTAATGGCAGTTTGTAGGTGATAGGGTCTATTTTCAAAAACATAGCATGGCTTCAATTTCCCATCCTTCACTATACATACCTACCTATATTTCCCATTTTCACTTGTCAAGCTAATTTCAATACATTTTTAGGATTCTCTTGCTCTAACATTTCATTGAGATAGAAAAAGATGTATGTATGTGTGAATAATAAAACTAAATGTACGTATGTTCGGAAGGAAAATAACAATCTTGGGAATATATGGGGTGAACCTAGATGAACCTGTTAATATAAAGGATTCATTTTATCAACAACTCAGTGAGCAAGTAATAAAAGTAGGAACTTCAAGGGAAATAATATTGCTGGGAGACTTTAACGGACGAACAGGAAGAATAATCAACGACAAGGTAGTCGGAAAATTCGGAGAGAATGTAACGAATAACCATGGTGAAAGGCTTATAGTAATATGCCAGCAAAATAACCTAGAAATCCTAAATGGTTACTTTGATTATTGACTACACTATCGCAAAACAGAGATCAAACATGAAATTCCAGGATGTGAGAGCATATTATGGGGGAGCGACCTGTGGTAGCGATCACTACCTCCTGAAAATAAAAATCTTTATCCCGGGCAGAAACACCGCAAAAGAAAACGGAAAGAAAAAACAAGAACATGAAAAGATTAGATCAAAAATTACAAAGTTTATGAACTTCCAAAACCTTCAAATGCATTACCACTATATCTAAGGGGTATTCACAGTGCAGCATTTGAAGCCCTAGGCAAATACGAGAAAACTGGAAGAAGGCCCCGCCTTATTGGTGAGATCAAGAAATAGGGAAAGACATAGTAGATAAAAGGAAGAAATATCAACAGTATCTAAGTTCAAATAAGACAGGACACAACGAATTATGTAAAGAAGCACAAGCAAGAATACGGAATAAAATAGTACAGAAAAAAACCAGTCATGGGAAAGAAACTGTGGGCATATTAATACTTATCTGGGAGGTAGAAAAAACACAGAAAGTTGGAGATTACTGAAAATTATGAGGAAAACAAAAACCAAGGATATTATCAATACAAGAACACCCCAGCAATCGGCAAAACTAGAATATACAATACCATAGTCAGCTAATTCAAAAGTCTTGTTATGGGTGATCAATAAATCCTCTTCTGGCATTTTCTTGGCTTAATAAAAACATATGTCAAATTACTTTTGACTTTGAACCTTTATCGCCTATGACAATCATTTTGAGTTGAACATATTACATACAATTACATAATTACATACAATAAAAACAGTTATCGAAATAACGATAATTTTCAACAATCACATAAAAAGCAGGGTTGTTCCATTTGAAAAACACGATCCAAGTCCTATCTATGTCTTGTCTCTATGGCTAAAATGTTTTTTTTTACATAATTTTTGAATTCTGCAGAAAATAAAACATTAGATGGCCGTTTTGGATTTTTTCAACAAAACAGGAAAGGTCAAAAATAAGTCCCTGCTCGGTCCTCGAATACCCTGTACCTACATATGTATATTGGAAAAAGAAATAATTTTTTTTTCAAATACAATGATCATTCAAAGTTTTTTTTTTTTCTTTCTCTACTCTTTTTGTCACTCAACAGAAAATGCCTCATATTGCATTCGCCTTACAATTATTATTACTGAGCTATTTTTTCTATAAGCCACGACATTTAACTTTTTTGTGCTTTACATCCCTTCAAAAATACTCGAGGCATTTTTGCTTTCATAAAATAATGATTATGTATTTATGTCATTAGGCCAAGAAGTGCGTCTTTTTGTGCTGAGCTCAACAATTGGGCGAAGCACAAAAATACCTTTGGAGCTGAATGGCATACAGCATTTCATCTTCAAAGGATTGCAACATTTCTTTTCACAACTCAATCATTGCTTTTTTCATCCATTTTGGGAAAAAGTAATAGGTCACTCGGAACACATTCTGCTCCCAGCATGGAAGCTCGTGTAAGCGAGCAGACACATCAACTCGGTAGTGCGTTATGCTGGTACTCTATTTATACAATAATTTAGACCATAATATTGAACAGAAAATGTAAAACAAACAATAGAGGATGTCTTTGGTGAACAATGTTCAAATGGAACAAATTTTTCTATGGGCCATACTAATGGAAGTTTAGAAATCCGTAATATTGATCTAATAATTATGAAGAACCCACAGGTTCAATTACAACAATTGGCCATGTTATTTGTGGCATCTTCCTTTAGAATTCTCTGATTTGTTTTCCTTTCCATTTTTGACCTGCTTGCCGCTCACCTCCAAAAGTCCATTCCAGTTGCTTCCAGCATTTTTGCAGTTTTTGTAACAGTTTGCATAATGTTTAATAGTTTCTTTTTTTTTGTGGTCTCATCAAGTCCGATGCGGGCGAAGCATGTGAGCATTAGTAGTTGTATGCCTTTCAAGAGTTTAAAACACTTCAACTACTCGCCCCCGATTTGAAAGGAATAGATGCGTGGTGCAACAAACACTTTTCGAAGGAATAAGCGCGTAACGCCCTGGAGCTGTTCCGGAGCTCCTCCTAGGTGTGAAAGGAATACAACTAATGAGACCTTAACTGTTTTTAATTCCATCTTTTCTATCCATTTTTGATTGCAGAAAAAATAGCATGCGTTTTTTTGAGAAGAAGTCCATCCTTCGCCTACGTGTTGGTTGCAATATCTAGCAATAGGTGTCAACCAAGAATGAGTAACATTTCCGTCTACAATATACTATTCTACTATCGTAGAAACCAGCAGCTATGGAAAAATGTTCAAGAGAAGCTATATGCGCACTTTTTAAAATGTTTTGGCAAGGTGGTAGATAAATCATTCAATAAAAAACTTTGGACTTGTATAACCTTCTGATTAATTGTCCCAATGAGTGACTGTCTTGCATCTACAGCTGCTTTCAAGCAAATGGAACAATTTTGTTTGATTAATTTTCTAAAATATTATAGGATGAGTAAGAACTGGTTTGTGAAAGTTAAAGCAAGTTAGATGTGATGCATTTTCAACCTAATCCGTCAGAATTCTCAGATGATCAGTATTATTGTCAATTTTTTAAAATACTGATCATCAGAGGGCAAATACTGAGTATAGGTACTGAGATACTTTGGGAATCCTGAAATAATCCTGTCAATATTGAGGACACAGCTGCACTACTGAAAAAATGATGACCAAGGGCCATAATGTCAATTCTTCATCAGTACTAAATAATTATCAATGGGGTATATAATATATGCTAAGAGTGGATTCAATGTCGATTGCGTGAATGGAAAACAAGAAACATCGAGAACTTTATACAGGAATATTATGCTTTGTCTGAACTTTGGAATGTGCCTTTTGAATAATATCTAGATGAAAAAGAGGATAGAAGAAGCTAAATGGTATATTTGAAAAAAAAATACGTAATTGCAACCATTGACGATATAAAGTAAAAATACATTGACAAGCAATTACAGGAAAAAACTATATCATTTTATCCATCCCGGAATATTATGCAGGATAAACCAAAAATATGGCTTTTAAAATGCTGTTTAAACAAAATACTGATTACAATATTGATCGTTTGAGGTTTTCCTATGAATACTGTGGAAGCACAGTCGGTATCAAGTATTGAGTGTAATACTGATTGTGTGGGGCCGCTTATGAAGTCTGTAATCTGATGCCAATGAGATTATTGCAACAAAAATGAACAAAACATTGTTTAGCTAGTAATGTATATGTGCAAGGTACAGAAACGAATTGTTCTTTTTTGTTGAAAAATCCGGATAAGCCGTTTTGAAAGAACATTCAAGCAAACAGTCAATTCTTGGCGGTGTTACCCATTAAGGAAGCAAATTTATGAAGCTCTATATTGGTTTCAAGACTTCATGAAAAAAATTGAACTTCACAAAATTGGTATTAAGTCCTTTTGGAGTTCTTAGGGAAAGAATAGCCTGGTAAACGAGAATAACTGAGTTCCCGAGAATGAACCTCAAGTAGTGGTGAAAAATTTGCATTAATTAGAAACGACAACTCTACATAATATAATGTTATCACAGATATGAATGCCGCCAAAACTAATAAGTGTATTTCTTAAAAACCTAATTATGAAATACCTGTCAGATCAAGTAAAATTAGAAAAAAAAATTAAAGGTATAAAGAGTTTTTTGTAATTAATAATTGATTATTCAAATAAATGCTATACAGGCAAATATTTGTCTTTAAATTAAAAATAGGGGTTAACATTTTTAAACAATAATATAATAATACACAATGAATAATTGGTTTTTTGCCAGTGCTGTGAGATTCTATAAATAATTATCTAACAAAAAAGAGACAAAAAAAAAATATACTTTTCTCATGAAGATTCAACACCTTTTGCTATTTCACAATTCATCAGTATGGCTACGCGAGTCTTTGGAAAAAATCGTGTTGAATCAAATATAAAAAATGTATAAAGCAATAAAAATCATAAAAAGGAATAAAAAAAAGCAACGATAACTAAAGTAAACCTTAATATTGAATATTTACAATTTCAACTACATAAACGTCATATAATAATTAAAACGTAAAAAAATAAAACAATTATAAATCAGATAGTTATTGTAAAGGCTGAAGCAGATGGTTTGGCATAAAGTAAAGCGAATTTACCTTTTCTTCGAAACTTGCTTAGGTTATAATATTCATTTTATGCCTACACAAAATGTCTTACAAACAAGAATTGCCTACAAAAAAATAACCTCTACTAATTTCTTTTGCAAACTATTAGAAATTGAAAGCAAAAATAAATATCCTTGTCAACATATTTGGTTTCAATTTCAAATATTCTCTAATATATTAAAGGTATATAGTACAGTCCCTCTGAAAACTTTCCACGCAAGTTCTCTATCGTTTGCTAACAAAAATCGAAAAACGCTTGGACCGGTGAATTTTTTTTCGAGGGATAAAAATTTTGCGAATATTTTCCAATTCATAATTTCACTGCCTGAGCGGGGGTAGGATTATTATTAGGATATTAGATTTTAGAATTTAAATATTTGGTAATACTCACCCCTGCCCGAAGGGTTAAGTCATAGCTTATTTTAAAGGTCCTCTGACCCTCATCACAGCCATCAGGTTTGAAGTCGCTAACTTTCCTTATTAATTAACATTTAATAACTAAAAAGACTTTCTTCAAGTTGTCATGTCAATGGAAGTGCCAGCAGAGACTTCAAGATGATACTTGGCAGCTGTAATTAGGGCCAAAAGGCCTATAAAATGAGCCTATAACTTGATAACCTTTCCCATTTACTATTTTAGGAGGGGACCTGCTCAGGAGGTAAAATTGAAAAGTGGAAAATATGCACAAAATGTTTCTGTTTCTCCCTCAAAACAAAAATTGACGGGTCCTAGCACTTTTTGATTTTTCTAGCAAACACTACAAAACTTGGCTGGAAAGATTTCAGTGGTTGGCCCTGTAATTTGAGCAAATTTGACAAAGTATAAACCATTGGGTACCATGCAAAAGAGAATAATATAGAAAATATTTTTTGCTTAAGACAATCCACTATCTATTGTCCACCTGAAGGAGACAATGTGTGTCGGTAGAATAAAGTAGACTTAATGCGAGATAACTCGCACGATTCTATGAAGACAAATATCTTGTGCAGCAGGCAGTAAACGTTAATTTCTCATTGAAGACTTTCAGCACCTAAGACAGCTCATAATGCAGAGAAAGAACCAAAAGTCTCAGTTAATGACCAGGTGACCTAATTAACCGAGCATCCAATGAATGAGAATTCGGCCAAATCAATACAAACTCATTGTATGAGTTAATAACAGTTGGTGCTATGAAACACTGGCTTTTAATTGACTTGACACTGATTGCTGAGCATGCTTCTGTGTAATGAAAAATCGTATTTCAGCCCCAAGCTGTACCTTTACAATAAATTAGTTTTACAAATTGTAATTTTAATACGTCTTCGTAGGAACAACTTTCATAGCATAAATGTATAGCTAGCTCACCAATAACAGTTATATCGAGGATCGTTTGAATAATACTTATTATCCATGTCCGCTGCTGGCTTTATCCAGTTGTTGTTCATATGATATTGTATAGTTGCATTTAGAAGGTAGCCGGACATCCGATCCCAATAAGCATCTCCTACACCACTGATGTAATTTTCCGCGAATTTCTCCAATTGGGCAGTGGTTTGGTAGCGTTTCCTCAACTCGTGGATTGTGTCTAAAGTAGAAGATTGCTCTGTGTATTGTGAATTGTCCATCATTGCTGGTACTTCAATTTTTGGGGACTCATCATGTTTCCATGGTGGCCTCCAAATAATTGACCCCTAGCTATTTCTTGGGATCTTACTGGGCGATTCACTTACCATGCCGCTCAACATATACTTTAATTGAGGCATAAATTCTATCACATTTCTTATTTGAACTAAAGGTACAGTTTCGTTAACATTCGTACATTTGCCTTGCTCCAAAAGCACCTGCATTTGGCCTCTGTAACAAAGAAAAAAATACATTTTTATTTCAAAAATTTTTAGTCACTTTGATCATAATATATTAGGATTAGGATAAATTAAATTATTACAATTTCACGTAATAACGATAATTAAAATAGAAATTTTAATCCTGTATTTTAAGCCAATCTGAAGCTTGCATTTTGTCATGTTTCCGTGAGATCCAGAAAACTTTCCTGGTACCCTGTTCGCGATAACACTGGAAATTTAATTGACCTAGCAAATTTGCATGGCTGGTATATACAGGGTGTCCCAGAATATGTGTGTAATCTCCTGGATTCAGATAGAACACACAAAATACTAGGACAACTTCCAATAAAAAAAAGTTCCTATTGCTGCCCCTACGAAGTTACCTGCCTCTCAAAGACTGAAAACCTTTTTTTTTATTATAACTTTGAAAGTATTATCTGGCCAACGATTCTGAAGCTACAGGGCATCGGTGAGAAGAATACAAAAATGACTGATTTCATTCATAAAATACCCAGCTGTGTGCGGAACTTTTTGGAAGTATACTACCGTATTGCAACTCGTGCACGAAAATCGACAATAACCCACCCACCGCCACTGGATATTTTAATATAAGTTGATGAGAGGTGGGAGGGTAAAATTACGGGAGCTATGGCCAATAGCGAGACATAAGCCCTACGGCAAACACATAGTTCCCGATGGCAACGGCGATCGTGCCAAAAACTCCACCAATCAGGTTCATCCAGGCTGGATGTTTGCCAAATTGACATTGACTGATGGTATCTTTAGAAAATGTTTACTTTTTATAATAGACAAAATTGAAGAAATCAGTTATTGAATGAGAATAGATCTAACCACGTTAAAATATTTAGCGTCTTCTTATCATCAATATTTTGTTATTGAAAAATGGATTTTCAAATGAACTATACTACATGTCTAGTATTTTCGCTTTTTTATAATTGAAAGTGGCAACATCGCACATTTACGTCCGAATTCCTTCCATAGCTTTAGCGTTATTGGCCAGACATTACTTTATGTACTAATATGTATGTATGTATATTTTTTTCAATATTATACCTCTACTTCCCCCTTAAAATGGACCCTTTTAAAACACTTGGGTTATACTCCAGTACATCTAAGTTTGACCAGGAAACAAATCCCTTGAAGCTGAAAATTGCTGGATTATTAGGCCTTGGGGTGCTATTTAACATATCGGCAGCCTTATTCTGTAACTTGCGACCGCAGAGAATTGCGCAATCGTCGCTGTCAAATCGTTGTCAAACGTGTGTTCTCTATATGTTTTCTATTCAAAAAAAGCAACTGGCGACCGGTTGCTAGTTGCTATGTAATTGCTGTTCGTTAGAGAATAAGCCTGCGGGTCTTCAAAAAAAACAATCAAAGACTGCTATGGTTAGCAATATTTTTCTTTAATTTTGTCAATGAACTTTAATGTCAAAATGTCATGTCAAAAATCCTGACCATTAAGGAAACAATAATGCGACATACGTTTTCGTATTCAAAGCAATCTCTGATTGGTTTTTTTTTTAAGACCTGATACTAAAAGTCCCCTGAATTTGAAGATAAACTCGTTTCAAAGGGTAGGCAGCAGCGTCAGATGTTGGAGGTAAGCATGCAAGTTCAAAGTTTTTATTCAGTCTAGTCTCGCATTCGTTCTCGTATATTTAAAATATTGCAGTATTCTGGAACTGTAAAGCAGAATGCAGAAACTTCTGCAGCTGTAGAAAAGCAAATATGAACTGCTCCAGCTTGTGTGGTCAATGCCAAAGTAATTCTTGTAGCAATGTTTACAGAAAAGAGGAGTCTTTGGACGAAAAGCCATGAGTAGGTAATATTATTTAGTTATATTGCGCATATAAAAAAAAAATGACAATTTATTTTCAGGTCAATCTGCAGCGTTGGCCACAAGTAATAATTGAATGTTCATATTATCATATTTCGCTATTTAGTTCCTAGTGGTAGAATTTCATTTTGGATGCTCATTTCCTCAACATACAACAAACGTGAGCGACATTCTCTACTTTTATAGCATTATTATAACAAATTCGTATTTTTGCCTACTTCAACCCCTTGTAGGACGGCACTGACATGTCCTAATCAAAACTATATACCGTTTTGTAGGAAATTTTATAAGCATTAAATTTGATGTGTAGTAATTTTCATTAAAAACCGAAAATACAGAAGAAATTCCTAAAAAAGTGAAAAAATGTACCTTTGGGGTGGTCTTGGGAGGGTTGCCACCCCCGCAGGGGCAGGGACTTTCAGTATGTTAAGTAGCACCCAAAGGACTAATAATCCAGCAATTCGCAGCTTTAAGGGATTTTGTTCCGGGTGTACCATGTAAACGAAATTAGATGTACTGAAGGATGTACTGGAGTATTATTACAATTATTAAGGAATCGACAACAAACTAACCAATTATTATTTAGTTTGCCAGGGATGGGCTAGCTGTAACACAAAAATGCTACTTTTTTCACACCCTGTGTGATAAAGGCATACCATAGCAATAATATTTTTCGATAGTTTGAACCTTAAACAGAAGAGGCACTCTTATTCGATGTCGATAAAACGAACTGGTTTCGAGATAAAATTGTTTCTGTTTATTACTGATTTTTGGCTTTGGTGCAAATTTTTTTCATTATGCGGGCAATTTCTCGCATTCAGATGGAACACACAAAAATATCAGAAAAGTTTCTATATGAAATAAAACTTCTGCGCCCCCCACTCCCCTTTACGAAGAAGATAGGTGCCCCTACAAGCGTTTTTTTTTTGTAAAACCAGTAATAAACAAAAATAGTTCCCACAAAACCGGTTCATTTCATCGATTCAGAACGGGAGTACCTATTTTTTAGTTTAAGGTTCAAAATCTATTCTAAAATATTATTGTTCTGTCTTTATCATGCAGGACGTAGCGAAAAGTATAGCTCGATTGTGTTACAGCTAGTCCGTCATTGGCAAACTAAATTGAGCATGTGTGTTTAAAAGGGTAAATTTCAAGGGATCTTATCTAGTATCCATCAAATTGGGAATAAAATTAAATTAGACAAAGTATTTAAAATGGTTTCCATCTGAATCCGAGAGATTGCCTGCATAATGGAAAAAAAGTCACCAATGCCAAAAATCAGTAGGAAATAAATAAAAAAACAATCCGTTCGTTTTATCAGCATCGAATAAGAGTACCTTTTGTTTTAGTTCAAGGTTGAAACTACCTGAAAATATTAATGCTGTGCCTTTATCATACAGGGTGTAAAAAAAACTAGCATTATTGTGTTGCAGCTAGTCCATGCAGCATCTTTGAGCCACACGTAACTTCGTAGGGGACGCCGCAGGAAGCTTTTTTTATAGGAAGTTGTCCTGTTATTTTTGTGTGTTCTATCTGAATCCGTATATTCTGGGACACTCTGTATATACCTACATACATGCCTGTCAGGTTTCAAAATATTAAAATTTTCTTACTGAATACAACATGTGTGCAATTTATTATTGGAAAATGTTTTCTCACCCATGAATATTCAAAGAAAATTATTATTCTTGGTCTTTGACTTGACAATTTTCCTCATAATTTTCAAAATATTCCTAAGTTTGAAACAATTTGTCGAAGTAATTTGGGCACTAGTGGTATTATAACTGACAATAAATTTCCTTTGTCAAAACTTCATGTCTTTACTTTCAAAACAGAAAAACACACTAAAAATATTCAGTTCATTATACACCCTAATACATATTATGTCCTGAGAGCAGCCTAGGATGACCCCTAATCTTTCAGTTATCACATTTGGATCAAATCAATCTGCTGCGAAAATAATGCCATTTTTCCTAGGAAAAAAACTTCATGTGAATTAAAGAAGTTTTGACATTGAAAATTTTGATTTATCTCACCCAAATCTACTGAAATAAAATTGTTTTTCGTATAAATATACAGTATTTGGGACATGATTTTATTCCAAGAGCAGTTTTAGAAAATTGGGAAGATTCGCATAAACTGGTATTTATCCTACACACATCTCTCTGACAGCTTGTGGCAGCTGGAAACATTGGAGGCAAAGCCTTTAATTTGATGCTTTGTACCAGAACGACTTCTGTTCTGCAGACTGAATCTAAGCTTGCTAAGTTGAAGGACATGGACGAATAGTTTCTAATGGAAATTAGAACAATGTTCCAAAAGGATTTCAAGCAGTTTGAAGAAAAAATCAAGAATACAAGAATCGCCAAGCAGTACGACAGTGCAATGAAAGATCTGAAAGCTAGCATTGAATACATGTCCGAAAAGTTTGATCAACAATGTAAACTTTATGAAGAATGTATGATCTTAAACAAGAAAATAGAAAAGCAAAATAAAGAAAACGGGTGCAGCTTCTTGAAAATAAACTGAAGATAAGAGAGCAGAATGAAAAACAAAAAAATATTTTGGTTACTGGAATACCAATTCAAAAAAGTAAAACGATTGAGGAAACTGTATCTGAGCTATTTGTGGGAATGGGTATGAAGCTGGGTGAGGAAGATATTACTCATTGTTATTGAATTAACACATATGCTGAAACCAAACCAATACTTATCAAATGTAAAACTTGGAAGTCAAACAACAAATATTTAAATAGAAAAAAGTAATTAAAAGCATTACTACCAAAGAGTGTAAATTTGCAGGACCAAATAAACATATTTACTTGAATGATAAATTGTTAAAACATAATCAAGGCTTGTTTAAGGTTGCAAGAGACTATAACTACTGTATCTTTTGTATGTGCTGATGATACAGTGTTTTTTTTCGAGGATCCAAATATCCAAGACTTACAGCAGACCGTTAATCGCTCCTTATCTACCTACTATAAATGGCTTCTCAAAAACAACTTGAAGATTAACATAAATGAAAAAGTGTTCTATGAAGCAATTTTTAAATCACATCTGCAATACATGTGTACTGTTTGAGCTGCAGCTTTAAAGACACTAATTCAAAAACTGCAAAGGCTGCAGACTCGGCTGCAAAATAGATTCATA